TAGGACAGCAATGAACATTATACACTATATAAACATAAACAATGTCAAATCTGTTTTAATTTAATTCTCTTGTCCCATGACTCACTACATTTTTAAAACTCTTATGTTAAAACCACTATTACTTTTTTCAATAGACAGTATAAATGTTTATGTAAACTGACAGTTGTTAAACTTACAGGCTGTACAAAAGTGAATTCCCACCAATATATGTCCTTTTGAGAAAACCACCAATGTATGACACTACCAACAGAAAGTGCTCTATTGAAAGTAAAACAGAAAAACAAGGCAGATAGGTTAAACAAAGTGAAAATTGATCATCAAAACTGAATTTTATGATTTGCAGTATCAGGAAATAAGGAGTGGTTTAAAGCACTCTCCATTACAGATTGCTGCCATCTCACATTTGTCTGTGTGGGGTTTGTGTCTCAGGCAATGTGGGTATGTGAGAAAACCTGCCAGCAGCTTTCTGTACATAGGTCAATAGTTCTTTCCGGGGTTTTTTGCAGGTTCTTCCTCCACCAGTTATACAGGCTGCCATGTTATGGCCTATCTTGTTCTGAAAAATGGCACTATTGCAACAACAACAAAAACAACAAAACTCAACAAAGAAAACCAACAACAACAACCAAAATATTCACACCTATGCCGACTTTAAAAATCTCATTTCCCAATTATGTGCATAAATTCTTTAGGACTCATACAAAAACGACAGGTGGGAAGGAATGAACAGAATGACACACTTTTTATTTTAGGAATATGTAACTAAACGATGAAATGATGAATGATAAAGTCTGATAAATGACTATTAATGAGAAAAACTGTCAACTTTGACAAATGCATCACACATTTATTTTATATGTTGACTATATTATCCATAAATTTTCTTACCCTCTAAAATTTCAAAGACCAACAATTTACAAAAATAGCATCATTTGGGTATTTGGTCCATCTATTTTTCTTACAGGCTCTGATTCAGAATCTCTTTAGATTTCCTAATATTTGTACTCAGAAATTTTTATTTCAGTTTTTGTCTCTAATTACAGTATGTCAAGAAAAATAAATTTAACAAAGTACCAAACATTGTTGTACATGTATTATATTATGAGTGACCATTCATGGTATAAAAAATTATGTTAAAATATTGTTACAAATCTTAATTTAAAGAAAAAGTTGATAAAATCCTTAGTTTATCTCTTTTTCAGAAACCACAATATTCCTAATAGACTTACCATGACCTTCAGACCACAGAATCTATATATATATATATATTTAACCTCTGGCCTTTAGACCACAAAATCTAAATATATATTTGACCTCTGACCTTTAGACCACAAAATCTAAATATATATATATTTGACCTTTGACCTTTAGACCACAAAATCTAAATATATTTGACCTCTGACCTTTAGACTACATAACCTAAAGATTTCTTTATAACCTAAGTGCAATCTGTATACAAAGTTTGGTCAAGGAACTAACTATAGAATAAAAGTTATTTTGCAAAACCCATTTTATTTGCAGAGAAGGGGGAGAAGCCTAAATTGACATAAAACAACTGTTTGTTGAGAGGGAGCCCCAGAATTGAGTTGGAATAGGGGTGGGGGATTGAAGAATTTCTTGCTAGCACCCCTAGAGATGGAATCCCAAAAAACAAAATTTGCATTTTTGTGCACTCAACTTTAGGAGTTGGATGAATACAAAGCATTGGCTGTATTAAGCTCAAATTATTGTGCATAAACCATTTTTCATAGTGGATAGCTTTTCTTGCAAATCATCCACAAAGTTTGGTGTAAGTACATGTACATTGCTAAAATCTTCCGTTTTTGAAAACAAACCACATTTTTGTCTTTCAGCTTCTTCCATACCACAAGTACAAGATATCCATAATGTTCACCATTTTTATTTCTTAGGTCACAGTCAACCTGACATTTGACCTTTTGAACTAAAAGTGATTAGCCAAAGCTTTTAATCTTTCACTTAGACTGACCATGAACTTTGATCCCACAATGAATAAGACCATTCCCTACCCAAAGCATTAACTATCCACAACCTTTGGTCCAGGTCTGCACCTATAGTGACCATGACATTTGACCTTTGGACCCAAAAATTGATTAGCTTTTTTCTTTCTTCAAGTGCAAGCTATGAAAAGGTCTGGTCATGTATATTAGGCAGAACTAACTTGCAGAAAGAATTTCTTGAATGAATTTTAATACCAACACTTACATTCTTCTTTCTTAGACCAGGTGCAAGCTAACCACAAACTTTTGTTTTTTTTCGAAGTTTTGAAGAAGTGAATTTCTCCCTTGGATAACGAAAAGTTAGCAGCCATATGGAAAGACAGCATTATGACATGCAGTGCTACACCAAACATAAAACCTCATGGCTAAAACACATCATGGCTACGATGGGATAATGTTGAGGAAATAAATAAAGACTTGGGACTTTCATTCACCTTAATCACTCAGCAATTTATTTTAAGTGACTTTTGGCTCAGTGGATGCCATGTAATGGCAATTAAAGAAATGTTTCAATTTTAATAATTGAAATTTTAATAGACAATACAAATCTAGCATAACATGTAAGAAAGAAAAACAAAATGAATTTAAGTTGACAACTCTAAAGGGAAATACCTGCTAGCCTGATTTTCAAGTTAATTACCACAATAATTACACAGTTAATTTCAAGTTTATTACCACAATAATTATACAGTTAATTTCAAGTTAATTACCCCAATAATTATACAGTTAATTTCAAGTTAATTACCACAATAATTATACAGTACTTCAGTTTGCTATCTAGATCAATCCTGTATGGCATATGGCATGTTTTATTAACCAGAATAAAATAAAAAATATATGTAGCCAAAGAAAACATGTAAAGGAAGTATTTAGCTAATAAAATACATGTGCTGTACTATACTCAGCAAAATACTTATTTAACTGGTTTCTTGGAATGTTGATATTATCATGAGTAAAAAAACTTATTACAAAAACAGTTCTTGCTCATTTGTGAAAGCAGCATTACCTAATAGTCTTTGAGGAAACATGAATTGAAACCTTTTGAGTGCTAATTCATGATTAAACCCTTTGAGTGCCAATACCTGGTTATGGCAACATCAATAATCGGATTTAGTTTAATCTGAATGTGTTTCTATCAGAAGACAATTTCTGGGAAATTCCTGAATTATTCTTTAAACTAATTATGGCACCCAGATTTTGTGATTAAACTGGATCAAAACTTAGAAGTGAGACAAATTTATCTAGATTAATGGGGTTTTGCTGTATATGTCAATGGAACATGCATACACCAAAACCATAGGATACAATCAAAGGGAAAAGTTAAACAGGGAATAGAACCCACGACCTCCCACATCTGAGGCAGATGCTCTAACCACTAGGCAACTGTAGCTGATAAAGTACAAGCCAGTCTGATAGAATGTACACATCATGAACTCAGTACAATTCTTGAAGATAAATTGGGGTATATCAAGATACTTAGAACTGTACCAATAGGCATTACCGACATAATTTCATACAAAATCCCAATAACTTCTTTTATCATTGGTACTTAATATTAATTTTCAAAAACAAAATTTTAATAAAAAATAAAAGGAGTAGGTGAATCTTTGTGAGAATTTGAAATTCAAATTTAGTTACTTGACATGAACATTGATGATATTTGCAAAGTAACCGTGACACTATAAATAATGTAGGGAAACCAATTAATTCAATTACATCTGTGAAACTGAAATCACTCAATATTGTAATGAAAATGTTGATTCAATTACTACCCTGTTACACATTGTCTACACAATGAACATAGATAATCATAAATTTTGGTAGATATATTAGAATTAATGTGAAGCATGAAGTGCTAAATTGATTTAAAACCCCTAAATTGCTTGCATTACTGTTACTTAATATTCCAGAGGTAGCGCATCCCTGATTAAAGGAGAAAGTGAATGATCTCAACTGTGAGAATTTAAAATTCTAATAAAATTATTTGACAGTTACAAACAAAATCAAACAGAATTCATGCATGAATTTCAAAAACAAGTACTGCCCAAACTTATCTTGTGTACTTGCACACATCCCATACCAATGTACCCAGATACAACCTACATGTACCCATACAATTTATGTACCCATAAACATGTATCCATAAAAATTACATGATAGGTATCCATATATGAATTACACATATGTACCCATATATAAATTACACATATGTACCCATTTATAAATTACACATATGTACCTATATATAAATTATACATATGTACTTATTTATAAATTATTCATGTACCCATATATAAATTACACATATGTACCCATTTATAACCTTCATGTACATACCCATATATAACCCACATAAACCCACATACAGCCAGCATGTAAACATACATAAATTACATATAGTACCCATATAGAACTTACATTTATGTACCCATATTTAACCACATATCAGTTACACACTATACCCATATATAGCTTATGTCTGTACCCATTAATAACCTACATATAACTAAACAGCACATAACCTGCCATATTCTGGCATAATGAGTCAAAGATAAGAATTACTGCTGTCTGCTTGAGATCTCAATTAAATAAAAAAAGCATTGCTATGTCAATGACCTTGACCTGTTGGCCAATAATCATACCTTCCCTATCCAACATGGGAGGGTGTATGAACAATGGAAAAGCCATAATAAATAAGCTGAACATAAAAGATGTTATAAGTTGACTGCATGGAAAAGCCAAAATAAATGGGCTTCATGGAAAAATCAAAATAAATTCAGCTTCATGGAAAAGCTAAATAAAATCATATGGACAGGCTATCTGTTGTGGAAAACTGTTGTAATCTGATTAATTGACAAATAATTCATCAATATGCACATATCCTTTAATATTTGATAACAAAAATCTATGATTTGGTGAATTTTTAAATATCCAGTCACTTATTATTGTCTGGACAATTAGTGACCGGGTACTTTTCTTCTGGACCACTCTAGTGGCCTAGTGGTTAGAGCATCTGTCTCTGATGTGGGAGGTCGTGGGTTTGATCCCCAACCAAGTCATACCAAAGACTTATAAAAATGGTACTAACAGCTGCCTTGCTTGGCAATCAGTATTAAGAGGTTATTGCTAGGACTGGTTTGCTTGTTGGCAGGATAATGTGAGTGGGTGGGACATCATGCTAGATGTCTGCTGCATGATGCTCCAGTGCTAGACATCACTACACACTGCCACACTGCAAACATCATAGCAATATGCAAGCAAAACACCATGGAAATTATAACATGATTTGGGAATAGCTCAAGACCTTATTTATCAATTTCTTAAAAAGTTAAATACCTCATTATTTCTTGTGCAATCATCCTGAAGTGCAATAATAATGTAGAGATTATCATTGTAAAACCTCACACACTGTACACCTCAAATCCTGTACAACCTCAATCCATTTCTGAACTATTGACAGTAAATCCTGTAAACACTTCATCCATTTACAGATGACATACAGTAAATCCTGTACAACCTCAATTCACTTACAGAAAATACAGTAATTCCCATAAACACTTTATCCATTTACAGATGATACAGTAAATTCTGTACAACCTCAATCCTCTAACAGAACATACAGTAAATCCTATAAATACTTTATCCATTTACAGATGATATACAGAAAATCTTGTAAAACCTCAATCCTCTTACAGAAAATATACAGTGAATCCTGTACAACTTCAACCCACTTACAGAAAATACAGCAAATCCTGTACAACCTCAACCCACTTACAGAAAATATACAGTAAATCCTGTACAACCATAATCCACTTACAGAAAATATACAGTAAATCCTGTACAACCTCAACCCACTTACAGAAAATACAGTAAATCCTATACAATATCAATCCTCTTAAATAAAATATACAGTAAATCCTGTACAACCTCAACCCACTTACAGAAAATACAGTAAATCCTGTACAATCTCAATCCACTTACAGGAAATATACAGTAAATCCTGTACAACCTTAATCCACTTAAAGAAAATATACAGTAAATCCTGTACAACCTAAATCCACTTACAGAAAATATACAGTAAATCCTGTACAACTTTAATCCACTTACAGAAAATATACTGTAAATCCTGTACAACCATAATCCACTTACAGAAAATACAATAAATCCTGTACAACCTCAACCCATTTACAGAAAATATACAGTAAATCCTGTACAACCTTAATACACTTACAGAAAATATACAGTGAATCCTGTACAACCTCAACCCACTAACAGAAAATACAGTAAATCCTGTAGAATCTCAATCCACTTACAGAAAATGTACAGAAAATCCTGTAGAACCTCAACCCACTTACAGAAAATACAGTAAATTCTTTACAATCTCAATTCACTTACAGAAAATATACAGTAAATCCTGTACAACCTTAATCCACTTACAGAAAATATACAGTAAATCCTGTACAACTTTAATCCACTTACAGAAAATATACTGTAAATCCTGTGCAACCATAATCCACTTACAGAAAATACAATAAATCCTGTACAACCTCAACCCATTTACAGAAAATATACAGTAAATCCTGTACAACCTTAATACACTTACAGAAAATATACAGTGAATCCTGTACAACCTCAACCCACTAACAGAAAATACAGTAAATCCTGTAGAATCTCAATCCACTTACAGAAAATGTACAGAAAATCCTGTAGAACCTCAACCCACTTACAGAAAATACAGTAAATTCTTTACAATCTCAATTCACTTACAGAAAATATACAGTAAATCCTGTACAACCTTAATCCACTTACATAAAATATACAGTAAATCCTGTACAATCTCAATCCACTTACAGAAAATATACAGTGAATCCTGTACAACCTCAACCCACTTACAGAAAATACAGTAAATCCTGTATAATCTCAATCTATTTACAGAAAATATATAGTGAATCCTGTACAACCTTAATCCACTTACAGAAAATATACAGAAAATCCTGAACAACCTCAACCCACTAACAGAAAATATAGTAAATCCTGTACAACCTTAATCCACTTACAGAAAATATACAGTAAATCCTGTACAATCTCAATCCACTTACAGAAAATATACAGTAAATCCTGTACAACCTCAACCCACATACAGAAAATACAGTAAATCCCATACAATCTCAACCCACTTACAGAAAATACAGTAAATCCTGTATAATCTCAATCTACTTACAGAAAATATATAGTAAATCCTGTACAACCTTAATCCACTTACAGAAAATATACAGTAAATCCAGTATAACCTCAACCCACTTACAGAAAATACAGTAAATCCTGTACAATCTCAATCCACTTACAGAAAATATACAGTAAATCCTGTACAACCTTAATCCACTTACAGAAAATACAGTAAATCCTGTACAACCTTATTCCACTTACAGAAAATATACAGTAACTCCTGTACAACCTCAATCCACTTACAGAAAATATACAGTAAATCCTGTACAACCTCATCTCACTTACAGAAAATATACAGTGAATCCTGTACAACCTTACCCACTTACAGAAAATGTACAGTGAATCCTGTACAACCTTAATCCATTTTCAGACTATGTACAGTATACCTTTTCTATATATACAAAAAAGAGAGAGAGAGAGAGTTCTGATAAATATGGAGGAATTACTTTCATATTACACTTTTTGAAATACGAAATGTTTTAAATTACTTTCCTTATATAGTTTTTCAAAGTCTCGTTGTATAGCAATATTTCAGTGGAATGTGATCCTGACTAAAATAATGGTAAACAAATCATGGCTTCCTGCCATGATATTTCATCATATTATTGGTGTAACTTAAGTCAAACATTAAATTTTTATTTAAATTTTTTAAAATTTTTCATCATATTATTGGTGTAACTTAAGTCAAACATTAAATTTTTATTTAAATTTTATTAAATTTAATTTTCATAGCATTATAAATTTTGCCCCTGGCCCTACATGACTGAGCTGGATTTCCTTTTGAAATGCCAGCAATATATATGATGGTATCTACATTACAATGGGTTTGTTCTCTCCCTGGATTAATCTATTCATATTGACTTTCAGCTCAGCAGTTATTTATTATTTTTTTATTAATGGTAGAGGGAATAAATACAAATTTGCAGTGCAGGATTTTTTAACATTTTTAAAAAATTTGAACACTAAAATTTTTAAAAAATGGCTAATTTTGTACTAATCCAATAAATAAAAAATGTGTATATTTGTTCGAACTTTTATATAAAATAATAAAAAAATTAAATCAAATTTTAAAAATATGAAATTTGATTTAAAAGATAAGATATGAAATTTATTTAAAAAATATTAAGTTCAATTTAAAAATATGAAATTTAATGAAAAATATGAAATTTTATTTTAAAAAATAAAAAAATATTCTTTAGTGATGACAAAGTTCTTAAAGACTTGAAGAAAACATTCTTGTGATGATTGATACATTGAAAAAAATATCGATCGACATCATAATTAAAATTGATTTTAATGGATTTTTAAAAAATACATTGCATGCATATCTTCTTAAAGTACATTATTTTTGACTGAAATTTAGGTTTTGGTACCACTACATGGTTGTATTGACTCATATCAAAGTTCTCTGGTTTTTCAAAATATGTCTAAAATTACTTTTATTTTAAAGCATAGATTTTTACAAAGATCTAATCAGGACCTAACCTAGAACTTATAATTGGGGGATGTCGGAATCTCCCTCCCCACATGAATGATGAACAGAAGGGAGAAATTTTTTTTAAAAATAGGTTTAAAACATAGAAATAACAGTTGGGCTTCAAAAATAGAATATGCAATTTTCATACATTCAATTGATTTTTTTTTTTCAAATGAATTTTTTCAGATATCAGAATGAATTCTTACATGTCTCTAAATAAATTCTTCCTTAAATGTCAGCACAATTCATTAGAGATGTCTAGTATTTATTTCAGGAGATCCTTGTTTGTATCATCAAATTAATGTCATATGACCAACTGAGAGAATAGATTTTTGCCAATAACAGGACAAACCTAATTTTCTTCATCCCAACAAAGTTTTGTCTGCAACCATAGCTGAAATGAGATGAGGCGGAAGATTGTATTCATTGCTTTGCTAAGGGTCTTGTTGATTGTATTCCTTGATGGGACTGTCACGGTGATTTGTGTGAAGAGCTGCACAGAAGACTATCTCATTAATGAAGTACCATTATTATTTTCTGATCAGTAACTCTAATTCAATGTCTAATTCAACAAGACCTGAAGACAAAAACTGCAAACCAAGAAAACTTTGATATACCACAAATTCTGCATGGTGTTCTAACACAGAGAAGGAAATAAATACAGTAAAAACCCTATGGGATACATATCTAAAAGAATACTAGATTTACACAAGTGAGTGTTTCCAGTAAATATAAACATTTAATAAACTATGAAATGCAAGGAGGACTAAAATTCAGAACAATAATTTTAAGTACTAGTAACATTTAAGACTCAGACTGGGATATAGTTTAACTTGGAAAAAAGAATTAAAATGGGAACGGAGTTTGAGAAGCAATAAAATTAATAAAGAGATAGGTTTAAAAAAGAAAAGAAAAAAGAAATGTACTTTGATCAAAGACAAGTTTTTGAGAAATGTTGACAATATATGTTGGAAAGTTTGGGAATGAAGTTAAGACAAAAGTGATGAGATAGAGTTGAAGGTGAAGATGGAAGTGATGATAGAAAGTAGAAATAGAAGTCATAAGATAGGATAGAAAGTAGAGATAGAAGTCATGAGATATGGTAGAAAGTAGACATAGAAGTCATGAAATAGTAGAAAGTAGAGATAGAAGTCATGAGATAGTAGAAAGTAGATATAGAAGTCATGTAATAGTAGAAAGTAGACATAGAAGTCATGAGATAGTAGAAAATAAAGATAGAAGTCATGCAATAGTAGAACATAGAGATTGAAGTCATGAGATAGGGTAGAAAGTAGACATAGAAGTCATGGGATAAAAGAAAATAGAGATAGAAGTCATGAGATAGGGTAGAAAGTA